GAAAAAGCTGGGTTGCAGCTAAACATCAAAAAAGCCAAGATTATGGCAACAAGAATGATTGACAACTGGAAAATAGAGGGAGAAAACGTGGAGGCCGTGACAGACTTTGTATTTCTAGGTGCAAAGATTACTGCAGATGCAGACTGTGGCCAGGAAATCAGAAGACGCTTACTTCTTGGGAGGAGAGCAATGTCCAATCGATAAAATAGTAAAGAGTAGAGACATCAGACTGGCAACAAAGATCCGCCTAGTCAAAGCCATGGTATTCCCTGTAGTCACCTACGGATGTGAGAGCTGGACCTTAGGGAAGGCTGAGCGAAGGAAGATCGATGCTTTTGAACTGTGGTGTTGGAGGAAAGTTCTGAGAGTGCCTTGGACTGCGAGAAGATCCAACTAGTCCATCCTCCAGGAAATAAAGCCCGACTGCTCATTGGAGGGAAGGATACTAGAGACAAAGTTGAAGTACTTTGACCACATCATGAGGAGACAGCAAAGCCTAGAGAAGACAATGATGCTGGGGAAAATGGAAGGAAAAAGGAAGAGGGGCCGACCAAGGGCAAGATGGATGGATGGCATCCTTGAAGTGACTGGACTGACCTTGAAGGAGCTGGGGGTGGTGACGGCCGACAGGGAACTCTGGCGTGGGCTGGTCCATGAGGTCACGAAGAGTCGGAGACGACTGAACGAATGAACAATAACAACAAGAAAGAATGCAAATAAATAAATAAATAAATAAATAAACCTACTTCAGTATACCCTACTCCAAACTTTCATTTGTGTGTGTGTGTGTGTGTGTGCCTGTTCTCTGACTCCCCTCTCCTTTATTTTATCTCTTCCTCCTTGCCATTTATCTTGCTATGAGCTCCCAAATAATCAAGAAGATGACCATAGAGCCAATCAAGTTTGACTGCGCTGTGATACTATGCTGGTATGCAATATTCCTGCTTCTTGGCAGGGGGTTGGACTGGATGGCCCATGAGGTCTCTTCCAACTCTTTGATTCTATGATTCTATGATTCTATGGTGAACTGATATTTTCATACTGCTTTCACTGTGCAATGCAGAGAGAAGACTGAGAAATCAAACTTTGCTGATGCAGTCCTCCAGAAAACACAGGTCTACTTGCATGTCATTGTTTGCTTCATAGTCCAGTACTGAAACCTAGGACAAAAAGTGCTAATCTGGTTGTCACAACACAGGAATAAATTCAGCCGTGCCTCCGGTTTTACCCTTCTTCATCATAACAGAATAATACTTACTGGCCTTTCATAATTTCCAGTGACAGATTGCCACAGTGGGAAGGTAAATTTGTGAGTAAAGGGAAGATGCTATGAAAAAATCTGGCATTTCATCCCCAAGTTTTGGATCATTTCTTAATAATGAGAAGACAATTCTTATGGTATCTAATGTATTGAGACACTTCAGTAATTTTTGAATCTCCATATCATGTTGAAGCCAACTATGATATGGCTGTTTTCCACCACAGCCTCAGGACAATATTAACAGAGGAAGTAATCACATTGCTGCCTTTGTTCCTTTTGCCAAGAGTTTTTTTAATGTTCCCTTTAATAAAGGTTTTTACAAGACTTCAGAGAGAGTAAGAAATTTAAAAAGACAGCAACAGAAAGCTTCCAACTACACACACAATCAATAACCAAACCCTTTCTCTCTAACAGGAAAGAATCTATTTCAGTGCATTAGAGTCACTATGGTTATCTTCAAACTCCAGGAAGAAACAAGACAAGTGCTCTGTATCTGCCTTACTAGGAATGTCAAAGATGCAAATTACATTCCTACAGAAATGAGAGACTACTATACTGGTGAAGTCTAGTCTGGAACCAAAGGTTCAAAAAGTTGCTTGTCTTGCTAGTTGGAGTATTTTGGAAGTTGCCTAGAATCCCAAGATATATTTTCTACACACATGATCAAAAGTCAGCAGTCCCACAAGTTTATCCATTTCCTGGGAATCTGCTGCAGCTAGCATGTGATGAATCAATTTTTCAATTTGGAACATATTCAAGTTTTAACAAACCATTGATGGAGGTCAGAGATTGTATAAGCAAATATGCTACTAGGAAGTCTTCTTTATACCTTGGAGGCCATCAAAATTGCAAAATGACAGCACTTTGGCACCACTTTCATTGTCATAGCGCCATGCTATAGATTCCTATGATTCATGGCCGGAATCATTGGGTTGTTGTAGGTTTTTCCGGGCTATATGGCCATGTTCTAGAGGCATTTTCTCCTGACGTTTCGCCTGCATCTATGGCAAGCATCCTCAGAGGTAGTGAGGTCTGTTGGAAGTAGGAAAATGGGTTTATATATCTGTGGAATGACCAGGGTGGGGCAAAGGACTCTTGTCTGCTGGAGCTAGGTGTGAATGTTTCAACTGATCTAATCACCTCTCAACAAAAGATTCCCCAGGCACTGCCAGGCCATCAAATGCTAATCAAGGTGGTCAGTTGAAACATTCACACCTAGCTCCAGCAGACAAGAGTCCTTTGCCCTACCCTGGTCATTCCACAGATATATAAACCCATTTTCCTACTTCCAACAGACCTCACTACCTCTGAGGATGCTTGCCATAGATGCAGGCGAAACGTCAGGAGAAAATGCCTCTAGAACATGGGCATATAGCCCGGAAAAACCTACAACAACCCAATTTGTAGTATGTTTTGTATCAGATCTCTATGACATAGAGGGGCAAATAGCCCACAATATGAAGAAAAAAAACAATAACAGAATTTCATAGCATCACTCCATGGCATTTAATGTTGCGTCAAACTGTGAAAATTCTACAATGTGAATTCCTTAAAAAAAACCCTTATGTTCCCTTTCTGTAACATGAGAATAACTAATGTGGCATACTCTACTAGGCTTTTAAATTAATTACTGTGATAATTCAAATATTAGCAGAATTGCTTTTTCATGCATGTAAAAACTTGAATGCTACAAATACCTGGCTGTGGCACAAAACACACTCTAAGCAACATCACTGCCACTGCAATATTCACAAAGGAGTGTGAGGGAGAAGCTCAAGGCATGTCACAAAATCATTTTATGAACCATGTGATATTCCTCCTCAATGACAGAGGGCCCTTCCACACAGCCATATAACCCAGAATATCAAAGCAGAAAACCCCACAGTATCTGCTTTGCACTGGGTTATCTGAGTCCACACTGCCACATATTCCAGTTCAAAGCAGATAGTGTGGGATTTTATTCAACTGTGTGGAAGGAGCCTGAGTGAGGTCGTGCTCCAAGAAAAATCATTAAAAAGTTGCAGCTGCACAATAAAAGGCCTCCAAAGTGATGCACATATGCTTTCATTACCAGAAAAGTAAACAGTACCAAAAATTAATAAAGTATTACTAGTTATTTCCAAATATCTGTTTGGGTAGAAATTGACTTTTTTGCTGACTCTGTCATGGGACAGCCCCTCTATCCCTTGGTTAAATGCTATAGAGGTCCTGTCTGAATGAGTAACACTACAGTGTGAACAGGAAAAGTAAAAACCTCACAACCTCTGAGGATGCTTGCCATAGATGCAGGCAAAACGTCAGGAGAAAATGCCTCTAGACCATGGCCATATAGCCCGAAAAAACCTACAACAACCCAAAGTAAAAACTGTTTGGAGGAACTTTCCAATAGTGGAGTCATCCTGCTGGGAAGAAGTAGATCAAGGATCAAACTCTTGTATTTTTAAAAATGTGTGTATTATATGTGTGTGTGTTTGTTTAATAAAGTTTAATAAAATAGGTATTTGGAAACATATACAGACACATTTGATAGATCTTGAAGGAGTGTACTTGGTGGCATACCCCAAATTGATGCCCCAAAATGGATCCAAGAGATTAAGAGATGTTTTTTAAGGTGACAATAGGTTTTTGACAGGTTGTGTTTATTATGTACCTAATGGACCATGAATAATGCAGCTACACACTTGAGTAGACACGAGAACCATATAGAAGTGAAATTTTTCAACTGTTCTTGATAAATTATGTGAATTTTACATCATTTTCTAAGTTTTGGAACTTTGTATGCCTTTTTAAAAAACACAAAACTGTTGCATATTGTAAAAAAAAAAATCAAAGCTTTGACTTAAATCCTATTGTGAGTCCTAATAATAATAATAATAATAATAATAATAATAATAATAATAATAATAATTATTATTATTATTATTATTATTATTATTATTATTTCTACCCTGCTACTATCTCCCCAATGGGGACTCGGTGAGGATTATATGGGGCCAAGCCTGGACAACATAATACAGCAATAAAATCAAAGCATATACATCAGACAACAACATCATTATCAAAAAGACATTAAAATAATAAATGATAATAAAATAAAAATAAAAATAAAATACCAATAGACACAATCACGATAGAAATGACAACTGGTTGATTTTACGTAAGCGTTGTCACACTAATTAAAAACTGATCAAGAATTGACTCACAAAAATCCAGCTATAGAATTTTGTTTAAAATGATCCAAATATTCTTTTTTTTTTAAAAAAAAAATAATAATGAAAATTAAAAAAAAAATAAGTGTGAATAAAAATAATGATATTTTTTTAAAAATCTTTTTCAGGGTAAGAGCTCACATGAAAGGTGAATGTTTTTGGCTAATACGACCTCGATACAACATTTCCCATTCTGCATGAGAAATATTGCAGAAATTCTTTGCACCCTGATTGAATAAAGCACAGAAATTCGGATCTACAACTTAGTCTGGTTCTACCCTGTAGAAGTTACAGTAGTGACAAACTGAATTAATTTGTCAGTGTAGATGCACCCTCCATTGGCATTACATTTTCTAATAAATTCTACTGGAAGATTCTATATTATAATGTGCTACAAATATCAACTTTCCTAGAGACTGGAATTTTTTTTGTAGGGGGGGGGGGAACCAGGAAATTTTAGCAGTAAAAGTATCCCCTTCCTCCAGAAATGCACACCACATCGTCATCTCATTGTGTCAATATTGTCCTACCTTTGCTTTGGGGAGGGTTCTGACTCCGATCTCGGAGAACGTTGATCTGGTAGACAGCTCCATAAGGCTCAAAAAGTTCTTTTAGCTCCTTTTCTGACCACGAACGGGGGATTTGTCCAACAAACATCTTAATGGCATCTGGGTCTGGTTGGTCTGAGTGATCCAAAGCTCCATTCATCTTGTTAGCTGTGCCGTTACTGGAGAACAAAAGAGAGCAAGCGAGGGTTATCAGGAGGAACATTTCTGAAATAATGCCATTTTTGACCAGAAAAAAGGAAAGGAAAGGCAAAAGGAGATAAATGGAACATAGTTATCCCTTCCAGAGTGATGAATCACCACCATCAACAAAATAGCTTATTAATGACTTAAACAAACATCTTTGAAAATTTGTCATCACACTATTTTCCAACTTGTGTTCTCAGCAAACTTCATAGAATCATAGAATCAAAGAGTTGGAAGAGACCTTATGGGCCATCCAGTCCAACCCCCTGCCAAGAAGCAGGAATATTGCATTCAAATCACCCCTGACAGATGGCCATCCAGCCTCTGTTTAAAAGCTTCCAAAGAAGGAGCCTCCACCACACTCCGGGGCAGAGAGTTCCACTGCTGAACGGCTCTCACAGACAGGAAGTTCTTCCTCGTGTTCAGATGGAATCTCCTCTCTTGTAGTTTGAAGCCATTGTTCCGCGTCCTAGTCTCCAGGGAAGCAGAAAACAAGCTTGCTCCCTCCTCCCTGTGGCTTCCTCTCACATATTTATACATGGCTATCATATCTCCTCTCAGCCTTCTCTTCTTCAGGCTAAACATGCCCGGCTCCTTAAGCTGCTCCTCATAGGGCTTGTTCAGCTTGAATCCATGATGTACAAAGTGAGAAGCAACTTCGAATTGCAAAAGAATGCTTGTGGATCTCAACATAAAGTACCATTTCTATACTCTTGTATCCCACTGCTTGGGATATGGAAGGCTTGACCCATTGCTGATAAGTGGCCTACTCTTTTAAAAATGGGCAATGATGTGTTCCAGTTAAAAAATCACTTATTCCACACCATGACTAAAAGCAGAGGTATGCCATGGGAACATAACCTCCTGCAAAAAGAAATAGATTTGCATAAAATTTACTCCTGTGAATTTGCATTTGAAAATAATTATTATAATTAAGCTAGAAACACAATTCAGTTCACCAAGTCGGGAAAGATATTCATGTGTCAATTCAGTCTCCTGTTGTCTAGGGCCCCTTCCACACTGCTGAACAAAAACCCACATTACCTGCTTTGAACTGAAATATATGGCAGTGTGGACTCAGATAACCCTATTCAAAGCAGATATTGTGGGATTTTCTAGGTGTTAATGATGGATAATTTCAAGACCTTTCCTGCCTTTGCTTTTTGGAATAATAGAATCACAGTGTTGGAAGGAACCACAAGAACCATCCTGTCTGTTCCCCAGATGCTCAAGAATACACAACAAAAACTCTCCTGAATAATGACAATCTACCTCTGTTTAAAGATCTCCAAAGGAGAGGTAGTCCATCCCACTGTCAAACAGATCTTACAATCAAGAAGCTTTTCCTAGGCCCCTCCATACAGCTGTATACAATCCACATTGAACTGGATTATATGGCAGTGTGGACTCAGATAACCCAGTTCAAAGTAGATATTGTGAATTATCTGTCTTTGTATTCTGAGTTATATGGCTATATGGAAGGGCCCCGAATGTTTCTTTTCTTCTGATTCTTTAAAATGGATATGATTGGCAGCCCTCCAAAAAGAAGTCAACCGTAAAGCAAGATACTCAGACATCATACTCTCATCTTAAGTAGTGGTCATTTAATTGGTACTTCCTGTTTTAAAAATGTCCATAGTATCAAAAATTATATGAAGTTAGTAAGTTTAAAAATCCCCCCAAAGCATGCAAACACAGAACCCCACCCTGAGAATCAGATGAAGCAAATCCACACATCTAAACACCCTTTAGGATGGTAAAATGAAGGACAGCCAAACAGATGCTAGGGATACAACTCATCAGGGATGGTTTCCATTTAGAAGCTGCATAATAAACCCCTTCTACACAGCTGTATAAATATCTGTTTTGAACTGGATTATATGTAGATGTAGGCTGAGGCCCCTTCCACACAGCTGAATAAAATCCCACATGATCTGCTTTGAGCTGGAATATATGGCAGTGTGGACTCAGATAACACTGTTCAAAGCAGATATCATGGGGTTTTCTGCCTTGATATTCTGGGTTATATGGCTGTGTAGAAGGGCCCTAAAATAATTGAGTTCAAATCAGATAATGTGAATTTTCTGCTTGATAACCTGGATTATCTGGCAGTGTGGCAGGAGTCTTAGGACCCTTCCAGATAGCTCCTATATCCCAGGATCTGATCCCAGGTTTTCTGCTTTAAACTGGATTTGATGATTCCATACTGCTAGTTAATCTGGGATAAAAAGAAAATCTGGAATCAGATCCCGGGAAATGGGCCTGTCTGAAAGGACCCTTGGAAGCCACAAAAGAAAATGTTCTTCATTCGTTTTAGGAGGACATCTGGAAGAACTTTAATTTCTGTTAGATTTTTTTTATGTTTCTGCATGTGTGTGTCAGAAAGGATGGGGTGTGGGATTTTCAGCCCCTTGCGCAAAATGTATATTTGGGCCAACAATTCCAGTATCATGTACTATATATATTTCTCAATATGATGTTCTCTAGATGTTTTGGGATTGCAAATCCAGCCACCCATGACCACTAGCTATTCTTTCTAGGAATTGCAGTGTAAACCATCTGAAGGATATTATGTTGAGGAAGGCAGTTAGAAAGTCATAACATGCCCCCCAATTCCTCCCCCCCCCAAAAAAACCCCCACACCAGAAACAACACTAATACTTTTAAGGTCCAAGAAAGGTCTGACATATAAAAACATATTTGTCTTAGCAGTGGAAAGCAAGATTGAAAGAAAGTGAAAACACTGAAATGGGCTGATCGCTCTCCTTGTAGCAAAGTCCACAAAGAGGATCATGATTTAAAGTCCTACCAGTTCCAAACATCCACACATCCCAGAAGGCATATCAAATGGGGCAAGTCTTCCCCACCTTTTTGGAGCAAGGAAGGAAAGTAGCAGAGGAAGTGAACACATTGGCTGAGCAAATGCAAATCCAAAGGGACACAATTATTTCATTTCTGCAAAGATGTAAATCTACCACTCTAACATGCTGTTTACAGTGTCTCAAATTGCAAAACTCCACATATTGCTTTCCCAGTTATTTCTGCAAATGTACCTTAAAGTTTGATCTGCTACACAATTTATCCCTCTAGGACAGAAGGTGTGCAAAGGGTGGTGCTCCTTCCAGAAACCTCCATCTACCGTTACAATAAATGGAAAGGAATATTGGGAGCTGCAGTTAACCAATATCTAGAAGCATTCAGGATAAATACAGTGGGATTGACCAAGAAAGAAAGTATGATATATGTTTTAAGCTACGGTTGGGTAAATTTTAGGGGATGGAGTGCATTGGCACTGCTTAACCCATCAATGGCCTCATCTGAACTGATGCTAGAAACAATATCATACGAAAGCTTACTGGCACAACCTGGGAATCACAACCAGACACAGTGAAGACATCTGCCCTTGCGCTATGGTACTCTGCTGCTGAGTATGCATGCCCAGTCTGGAACCACACTAAAACAGTCGATGTGGCTCTTAATGAGACATGCCGCATTATCACGGGGTGTCTGTGCCCTACACCACTGGAGAAATTACACTGCTTAGCTGGTATTGCACCACCTGACATCTGCTGGGAAGTAGCAGCCAATAGTGAAAGGACCAAGGCAGAGACATCTCCAGCTCATCCCTTGTTTGGGCATCAGCCAGCACGTCAACAATTTAAATCAAGAAATAGTTTTCTAAGATCTACAGAGACACTCGCTGGAACACCTCAGCAAGCGAGAGTCCAAAAGTGGCAGGCTCAAACCCAGAGCCTCAATCAATGGCTGATACCCAATGAGAGACTCCCCCTGGGTGACTTGGAAGACGCTGAACAGACTGTGCTCTGGCACCACGAGATGCAGAACCAATCTTAAGAAATGGGGCTACAAAGTGGAATCCACGACATGCGAGTGTGGAGAAGAGCAAACCACTGACCACCTGCTGCAATGCAACCTGAGCCCTGCCACATGCACAATGGAGGACCTTCTTGCGGCAACACCAGAGGCACTCCAAGTGGCCAGCTACTGGTCAAAGGACATTTAATCAACTACCAAGCTTGCAAACTCTGTCTTTTGTATGTTTGTTTGTTTGTTCTGTCAAAAATGTAATACAACTGTTTGGTTACCTGACACGATAAATAAATCTGAACTGATATCCCCCGCACATTCCTGAATTTGGGGCAGTGGAAAAAGTTATTTCCCCCCTTTAAAACAAGGTACATACCCTCTACACAAGTTGTTTATAAGAATAATTGCTCTTCTGTAGAGGATTCTGGTTTTGGAATTGGTTTTGTAAGAAGGTGCATGGTGAACCTGCACCTTATTTCAAAGCAAAAGTGGACTTTCCCCATCAATACTGTAAATATCTAGAGATGGGGAAGTTAATAGGGATGGTTAATGGACTTAGTTAATTGTTAATCATCCAAAACATCTAATTCAATCATTTACATTAGATGAGTGCAAATGACTATCATGTTTATGTCAAATGTCCGTTCAGATTTACGTTAAATGCTTGCACTAAAAAGCCTTACCACAATGAAGCTGAAAAGTGCCATCTATGATTATTACTGATTTATTCCCTTATTACTTTTTTCCACATGCATCCCAGCAAGAGTTCTAGGGTAAGATGATCCAAAAATTAATCTCCTGAGACAAAGGAAGCTCATGATGTAGAGCACAGTAAGGCCACCTGGAGACAGAGACGACCACCCATCTTCTCAACTGTTCTTATCATCTAACCTTGGAATTAACTAAGCTTTATAATATGTGCTGGCTCTTTAGCATTATTTTTCATTTAATTAAAACATTTAATAAATGAATACATTAATTCATAATTCAATTATAGAATTAGGTTAATGATGAAATTTCAACGTAAGGGAATCACTTTAGTTGAAAAGTAAATACAGTGCCAGAGGAACACAGATGGAGGAAATGTTTCTGGTTTTTGCTCTATTTGTTTCTAAAGTTCTTGGGATTTTTAAAATAAGACAATGCT